GAGCAGCTTGTGAGACCTTGTCGACCACTGTAAGGAGTTCTGCTTTCACTCTGAGTGAGATGGGAAGCCATTGAAAAGTTTTGTACAGAGGAGGGACATGAAATAACATGCTTTAAAAGGCTCACAATGGCTATCATATTGAGAATAGATTGGGGAATGGGGACAAGAGTGGACGCAGGGAGCCCATGAGGAGGTTCTGGAGATAAACCAGGTGAGAGATGAAGGTGGCTTGGTGTCAGTCCAAAGATGCTAAGTGTCTTGCCTAAGCATCATAAGTGATGAAGCAGGGACTTGACACCACAGCCAGATCTCAGCCATTACCGACAAGCTCATTCAAAAATTTCATAGGAGTAAAAATCAGGAAGACAGTAAAAGCCAACATTTCGAAAAAGTCATCAATAGGCATGTTTCTTTCTCCTCCCCATTCTTTCATTAAACTAGAAAGTCTATATGGTCTGGTGGCAATGTGCTGCTCTCCTTTCTAGGTATATTTTGTAAGTGCCTACAAAATGTCCTGATGACTTGGATGCAGGCTGTGAGAAAAAGAGGAGTCAAGCATGACTCCAAAATTTTGGGTCTGGAAAATGAAATTTTACATCAGTTGTAGTAGAGAAGACAAATTTGTGGGGAAATAGGCTTTAGACAAGAGCAGAAGGTGATGCCTATTAGCCATAAGTAGAGACCATAAGTAGGCAGTTATGTTGGAGTCTGGAGTTCAGGAGGGTAGTACATTCTGAGTGCCCCAGTGAATTGATCATTAAATATTTTGAATATTATGTTTGGTCGTATCTACTAACTGGTGAATACATAATCCTGTTTAATATATAATGCAAATCTCCATGTTTAATTTTAATAAAAAGCCACTTTAATCCTGTGATCCCTTTGCTCAAGAGTCTTAATTGCTCCCCATGGCCTATGCAATACGGTCCAATTTGAAATTTAAAGCATTTTACAATTTGATCCAAGTCAACTTGCAATATACCACAAGAGCCCTATTCTACTTAAACTGGGCTTTTTAGACTCCTTCATTCTTAGCTTTGTCCATCTCTGTTCTGTTTTTCAAGTTGCTCCCTTTATGGCAATATGTCACACCTCTCTCCATCTATCAAAATCCTATCCAACTTTCAAGACCCAGCGGAAATTCCAACTCCTTCCATAGCTATTAAAGTTGAGAATGAGCTCTCCTCTGAATTCTTGCAGCCTTTATTGTCTCTACCACTTATTTTATGGCTTTCATTCACTGATCCAGTTACATATATATACGTAAATTTCATATATATTAAATTTTATTGGAAGCTGGAACTTTTGCTGATGTTCCTTTGGAACCCACTCAATGCCTTTCACGTAGTAACTGATACCTAACTATTTGTTGATTGATGATCCTGCCCCCAGGTCACATTGTTTTTTGCATAAACAATTTGATTGGTGGCCTTATATTTAAGGTCATATTATTATTATCTAAGCTCTTGTATGCATGATCACAAATAACGACTGTAGGAGGAAGACACTATTACCATCCCCATTTTACAAATGAGGAAGTTGAGCCTTACAGAGCATAAACATCTTGCCCAAAGTCCCAAGCAGTGAATGGTGGAGCTGAAATATGAAACCATATGATATAACCCCAGAGCCTGATCTTTTAGTCACCATTAGATACTCTCTCGCTTGGTGAATAGTACCTTCCATTCACTTAAAAATTCATGCTAAGGAAGCAAAGAGGGTTTTTCAATCCCCATTCTAAAAAGGTTGTGGAAGAAAAGTTACCTTTATTTCACCTGCCAATGAACGCCTCTGAGCATTTGTACATGTGGTGCTCTCCTCTTGGACTAGGGATTTATTGTCAACTCTAAAGGTGTTTTTTTGTCCCTTTCCTTAACCATATTTCTCTTTGTTCATTTTTTCTTCTGTGTAATATTTTACTCACTTAAGAAACAAGGACTCCTCAAAATAGCCTGGGAAACATGGAGTGACACTCTGCCTCTCTGAAAGTTATTTCAGCTATTATGAATTAGGAAACAAAGCTGGAGTAAAAGCCAGACACTTAAAGTGTATAGCATATGTCGGAGGGGTTGGGGTGAGGGGACCAGGGCACATAGAACAAGTCCAGTTCATTTCTAGGATTGGCCTATTGCAGCTTCCAGTTTTCTCAAAGCAAACTGGGGATTCTCCAGAAGTGTTACTGTTGATTCATAAATCACCACATGGCTCTCTGGAGCAAACAGAAAATCTGTTTGTTGTTAAACTGCATAGCAGAAGAGACAAAGGGATTGTGAGGAAATCTACAAAGGTGTAGGATTTCTGTTCAATAGAAGGTATCACACTTAGCAATGTGTGTGCATTAGGGTATCTTTATAGGGAGACCCAAAAGAAACAGTACCAAAGATAGTATTTCCTGGCAGGAACATGTTGTTTCAAACCACTTCCCTAGGTCATTGTTACACATGCATTGAGTCATCGTTACCAAATGCACAGATAAGGCTGAAGGGAACCTTATGTGTTATACAACCAAGATTCCTTTTTACTGGAAGGAAAATATTTTTACACTGGAGTTTTTGTTTTTGCTTTTTCTGATGAGAAAATTTTAGTGTTAATAGTGTCAGACTCCAGGAAATCTCGGCTTTATATACCCCAAAGTCAGATCATATATGAGTCATAACTTTTATGTTTAAAACTCTGAATGAACAATTAGATTCTCACCTGTGTGTTTGGACATTGTTTTAAGGAAACATCAGTGTCAATAACTTTTCACTCAAGCCTACCTCAAAACAGACCAAGAGACCAAAAGTAAAAAGTAAATTGGGTGTGTACTTTAATTATATGGATATTCAATAATTTGTTCCTTCAACAAAATTTGTCAAGGACCTGCTCTCTGCCATACTGTGGACACAGAGATGAACTTTTGGGCATGTAAATAGATTATTGTAATGGTTTATGAGGAATCTCTGGATGGTGCAAACAATTAACACAATTGGCTGCTAACCAAAAGTTTGGCGGTTTGAGTCTATCCTGAGGCACCTTGGAAGAAAGGCCTGGTGATCTACTTCCAAAATATCAGCCACTGAAAACCATATGGAACGCAGTTCTACTCTGGCATACGTGCATGTTGTTGCCATAAGTAAAAATCCACTGTACAGCAACTGGTTTTAATAGTGGCTACTGGGTGGCTAGAGGAGGTCCAGGTAAGGTGAAAGGACAAGAGAGGCATTAGTTAGGTTTTCCAGGTCTCCAGGCAGGAGGAAGGGTGAAGAGAAGGGACAGTTCAGGCTGAGATCACAGCATATCCGAGGGCTCAGGTACGTACAACAGTGTGACTCACTTCAGGAAGTGGAGGTAATTCAGTATTCAGGGTGAGAGGGAAGAGAATGGTGACAGATATTCATGTGAAAAGGGAAGGTCAAATCTTGGACTCCCGTTCGTGCCCTTCTAAAGAATTTGAATTTCAGGAGCTTAGGCTTTATCCTACATGTATGTGGATGTCTCATAAACAATTCTAAAGAAAAATGTAGATTAAGTGATTGATTGCAAATGCTTTGTAGTCACTTTCAGCAACAACACATCCTTCCCTTTTTTTTGCTTTTGCCTCGTTTGCTCCCTATCCTCCAAGTCCAAAATAAGGTCTTCTGTTTCATCAGGGTCTATTTGTGTAGTTCAAAGTCTCTGCCATTTGGTTCAGTGACAGAATTCTCTACTTCCATGTTGGAGACCTAGGTTCAATTCCCAGCCAGTGCATCTCAGATGCAGCCACCACCCTTCTCTCAGTGAAGCCTCGCACGTTGCTATGATGCTTAACAGGTTTTAGCTGCGCTTCCAGTCTAAGACAGACTAGGAAAAAAGGCCTGGTGATCTACTTCTGAAAATCAGCCAGTGAAAACCCTATGGATCACAGAAGTCCGATCCTTTTATACATGAGGTCACCGTGAGTTGGAGGCCTACTTGATGGCAGCTAATAACAACACCAGTGCCCCATTACCTCGGGGTCCTGCTAAATGACCAAAGTCAGTTAATTCAAGCTGTTAGTGGAAAAGAGTGTTAACTCCAGAGGAGACGTGGAGAAAATCTACACTTGACCTCTCGGTTTTAAACTTGCAAGCAATGCCCATTTTTCTTTGTAATGAATTATTTTCCCTTTTATTTCCATAAAAATTAGTAGCACTTAAAAAATTATATACGCCTCATTAAATTCTACACAGCTAAGCTCACATTTAGGAGGCATTGCCAGGAAATCTTGCCTTTAGGAAAGCAAGTAATGAGCTGTCAAAAAGTCAACAATTACCTAATTGCCCTGGGAAATACAGCAAAGTTGTAGCAGTTAGGCTACTGAGGAAAGATTTGGTTTGCCCAGGCTTTCTGTAGCAACTTCTTCATCCAGTGGGAGAAACTGCCGGTAAAGGAAGAAGGACAATTTACATGCTATAGCAAGGCTAATCTGCCCCGTGTCTTAGTCACAGCCTGCCTACTTGAGACATCCTGGGAAATCCCTTTTTTGAAGAGAAGAAAAGTTGAAATTGCAGTTGCTGTGCTTATAATCTTATTCTGTGTAGTTCACACGGTCACTTCTGTTCATTTTTAATGAAAAATTATGCTGTTATTTTCTACCATGAATTAACTTTGTTTTTTATTATTTTTTTAATTTTGTATATTTGGTCTTACCCTAAAAGACATCATAAGAGACATTTTTTTTCCTCTTTTTTTTTTCTGCGTTCCAAGACTCCAGAAAAAACAGCTTCCCTGGCACATTTTGTACAAGGCACAACTAGAATGAGTGATGCAGAAAGTTCTACGGAGCCTGCAGAGGTAAGATCACGTTTGTGGGGGATGAATTGACCGTATCTAGCATGGATAGCACTTCTAATAGTCAGTTAGGAAACAGTAACAGTAGACAATGACTAGTTTGCTTTCTTTAGCTAAGAACGGCTCTATATTTTTGACAAATGTTATTTAAAGAAGAAGTATCTGGGCGATCAGTACATTGAACATCTCTACACTACTTTTCTTCTGTTATAAAATGAGAGCATAAATCCTCTATTAATTCCTTTCAGGTCCCAAATTCCATGAGTTCCATATTTTGCTTTTGATTTAGAGAGATTTGGTAAAATATAAGACTTAAAAAAAAATAATGTATTGGAGTGATTAGAAATAGAACATGTTAGAGCAACTGAATGTCTATAGTAAAATATTTACATATACATAATTAATATCATAGGTTCTGTTCAATTACGGCCTCCTAGTAGATTCGGGACAGAATAGATACTTATTGATTGATTGAAGTAATGAATAAATGAATGAATGAAAATACTTTCTTAAAGTCTCCTAGAGATGACTGAGGTATAATGGGAAAGTAAGTAAAACTTATCTGTTCAATTAAGTATTTAATTTGGCAATGCCGGAACTTGAATATCTTGAAAGTTGTTACGGGTGATATGGTAAATGAGAAAAAAACAATGCTTAGATATTTTTATATGGATTATACTTTTTAGAGAATAATTGTTCTATAACCGAGCCCATAGAATGAATGACTAAAACTCTTTGTATTTATTGCAATTATCAGATGTCTTAATTAGCAACTGGATTGGAAAGCAAATACAAATGAAAAGTTCTCTCAAAATCTTTGTATTTAATTGATTTTGCTTCATTTTAATATACATCTAAGACATATGAACCATGCTACCATGTTGAGTAACTTCCAGAGAAACCCCTGGTGATATATTTATGGATTACAAGCGATTCGTATTCACTGTGCTTTCTATCCTTTTTCCTCTTACCTTTGAAACTTCTGTGTTTCAAAAATTAGTACTTCTCCAGTTGCAAATAGATTCTCTTTCAGATTTAGAAACTAGTTTTTCAGTAACTTTTAATCATAAAATAAAAACCTAGGGTCAAAATATTTGATCATTTTTTTGGAGAAAATTATTGAAGGTAGAAAAAGAAATTCTAACAAGTGTATACAAATAGTTGCTGGTCATAGATTTTGCCAACTTCACAAAAAAAGAAGAGACTTTTTGAGGGCTAAAAATTCATAGTCCTTATGGAACGGGGGATCTTGACCTTTAGTGTGAATCATAATAACCTGGGAAATAGGTTTAAAATAGAGGTATTCTGGCTCCACCCTCAACAATTCTGATTCAGTGTTCCTAGCAAGATCCTGGGCAAAGTGGTTAAGAATTCGGTTGCTAATCAAAAAGGTCGGCAGTTCGAATCCACCAGTCTTTCCTTGGAAGCTCTGTGGGGCAGTTCTACTCTGTCCTATATGGTCGCTATGAGTCGAAATCGACTCGATGGCAATGGGTTTGGTTTTGGTTTATGGTGACTCTGATGCACTCTTGTGGTGAGAAGCACAGGTCTAGAATTCAGTCTCATTGCATCTTCTGCTTTGCTGGACTCAGGACGCGCCAAGTAGGGTTGGGTGACAGCATTTTCCAGATCAAAGATGCCTAATGTTTAGTCTGTTCTGATGCAGAAAGGGTCCACTCTCTAGGAAGTCCACCCCCTAAAAAAGGGAAAACCCAATTACAGGGCCCAGTGTACTTGTCACCTGGGTTTTGATGCCACCCTTGGCACTCAGCCAAACCAGATTCATAAGGTCAGGAGCAAATATGATCATCTGAATTTACTGACCCACTGAGTAATGTCTCTTTTAAAAAGTGGTCTTAATTATGCACTGGGTCTAAACAGAAGGAAGCTAAGAAAACTAAGCACTAACATCTATAAAAACCAAAAACCCATTGCCGTCAAGTCAATTTCAACTCATAGCAGCCCTATAGGACAGAGTAGAACTGCCCCATGGTTTCCAAGGAGCACCTGGTGGATTTGAACTGGCGACCTTTTGGTTAGCAAACATAGCTCTTAACCACGATACCACCAGGGTTTCTGCTAACATCTACAGAGATGTAAAATATCATCAAATCCTAAAAAAGTTGAGATATAGGTAAATAGAGAAATGATAGAAAAATACAGTGTTATAAACGATGTCTAATGAAAAAAGTCCTGAAATCCCACGATGATTGCAAAAGAGTTAGTTCCTATAAAAGTTTCTGGCAAAGACCAACATGTTTTGAAAATATTTCTTAATTGTTTAAGAATATCTTTAAGCAATACGTGGTCAACAGTCAGTATTGAGTCTGAAACTGTATAGCAGATGCAGGGACTACCCTCCTCACCCCATTCACGACATTGCGTATAGGAAATCGAGATGAGATGGTAACGAGAGTTGCAATAGAGAAAACAGTCCCTTACTTAAGTGAACTTTGCTGGAGGTGGACTTAGACAGATGGGAAGCCAAGTTTGAAGAGCTTTTGTGCTTTTTTAAATGAACACATCCACCTCTAAAAATAAAAAGCTGCTTAACTTTTTTCATTATGCCAATGATTATCAATCTAAATGTGTGACCTAGTGGCTTAATTCAAAGGGTTGGTTAAAATTACACAGTATGGATAAATCTACATCCACCTCGGTAACTATACTTGTGTCGTGGTCTATGATGTAGCTAACTGATTGTAGCTTTAGAATCAATTTACCTTGTTTTAGCTGCTACGTGTTCTTTTTTTGTCTTGTTGGTTCTGTCACTCCTCTGACTTCTGCCAGGGCTGCTATTCAGAATCTTACTGGCAACATGGGCACATCTGCAAAGATGAGTTTACAGAAGAGTTTACTACGTACATACACAAAATGTATCCTGAAACATACCTGACTTCTATAAGCTATTATACTGTGACATGTCTTTTTTTTAAAAAAAAAAAAAAAAAGACTTGAAATCCAAATTCATGAAATTCTAATTTTTGGGCCTGTTATAAAGAGAAATTTATAATTTGTTAAAGAATTATTTGGTAATTAATTCATATATAATAGTCTAAAATATAATATAAAAATGATTTATCAACAGGTTTCTATGAAAGACTTGTGGTGTGAAGATTGATACTGCTAGAATCTGATATTTTTATAAAACACAGCATTAGAGTCGATCAAATGCTTGGGATTTGTGAAGAACTGTGTATCTCCTGTTTCTTTGGGGGGCTATTTTACTTCAATGTCCTTTTTTTTTTTTCAAGTGTGCTCAATCATCAAGAAGAAAGAACTTGACAAATTCTCTTGAACAAAAGATAAGGTGCTTGGAAAAGCAGAGAAAAGAGGTAATTTAGTTTAAGCCACGTGTCACGGATTAATGCTGAGCATAAAATAGAAAATGTATTACCTAGTGTTTGTCATTTTTCTTATTGGCTCATAGTATTTATCTCCAGCATATACTGGATTGTATTTTCTTAAGGGCAAATGCTTTATTGTTATTCACCTATGTGTCTTTTACTCAGTCTTTTCAGTGTTTGTGCAATGATGAATGAGAAATGACAAAGTGATGTGTCCCGGTAATTATAATCCTAATTTCCTCAATACTTGGATGTTTCCGTCACGTGGACCAAGTGAGATTATCACCTGTACACTTTAGACCTGGCAACTTGACACACCTTGAAACTCAAACTGTCAAAGGTTTTAAAGTACAGTTGACTTAAGGCACAATGCCCTCATGAGGTGTGCACAGGAGTTAAGAAAGACTATCATAAAAAATGTTCATTTCTAAGGAATTAATGAGAATATGATGGATAGTCTTCTAAATGAGCTGTGTTTTTCTGTCTAGTGAATGTTAAAAACTCTTCACTCTTTTTTGACAGGGGAATAGGTGGGAAGTATAACAATTTAAGCACTGTGTACGTTAGCCATTTTGTAATTCCTTTTCTAAACCTTTCTATGTCCTAACAGCCTTCAAGTTCTCTTCTACGGTGTCTTTATTTCTCTTGGATATTGCACAGAATATAGTGATATGGAAAATTACTGAACTATAACACAGTAATGTTACTATAGTATAGAAATGTTAATCCATAAGATTCCAACTGATCAAATATCTTCACATAATAGAATTGTATGGTCTTATACTAAATATCCATATCTCTTTCCAGCATAAGCATTATTACCTCGTTAACTACCACTCCAAATTAGGTATTTTGGTTTTTAATTAGAAGCAAAACTTTCTTTTTTTTTTTAATCATCATGACTATCTTCTGGGTATTTTTTCTATATGGATAAATGTTTGAATTTCTCTTAATGTAGAAAGTTGCAGAACTTCCACTATAAGAGGACAAAGACATAGGCCACAATGTTGTTTCTTATAGTTGACACGTAGAGTTGACACGTAGTTTTAACACCTTCAAATTGTTGGCAGCCTAAAATATTTCTGAATCTGGTCTTGTGACAAAGCTTTTATTCCGTGAAAATGTGTACTTCCCAAAAGGTGATACTATCCATTAGTGGAATATATATTACAAATCATGTGTTAATTTAAAAAGTACATTATTGCAAAAGCACAAATATAAGCAAATGCTTATCAGTTAATGGAGTATGGAATCTGGTAGTATAAACTCTGTTTTTAAAAACTAGAAAAAAATACTTCATTATAATAATAAAGTAAGCACTTAGAAAATTATGTAAGTATCTAGAAAACCACCCTTCCTATAGCAATAAATCTTATAGAAAACCATTAATACTTCAAAATTTTCACCAGATTCCGGCTGGATTAAATAAAGAAGGTGAAAATTCAAATAACTAAGAATGTTAAAAATCGCTGATGAACTGTTTAGCTGACTAGTCAAGGTATACCCAAGACTTAAATGTTTTTTCATATGTGATCCAGTTAAATCCAATTAAATCATCCTCAGCCCAACCAGATTTTCCTGGGAAAAGTTCTGTCTTCACCCACAGTTTCCAAAAAACAAAAAGATTTTGACCAAATTTCCAAATGGACATAAATCCTTTATTGATTCACCTAACTTTAATAATTTCAGCTCCTGGAAGTTAACCAGCAATGGGATCACCAATTTAGAAGTATGAAAACGTTATATGAAAGAAAGGTAAACACCTCCCTCTGTTTCAAACTTGCTTTTAATCAGTAATCCTGGTGGGGCCAAGTGTGTGAAGACTCATTGATTTAGCTGCACAAGATTTGTGGATATTCAACTGTTGAGAAATGAGGGCAGGGGGTGCTGAGTGCGTTATCCACCTCTTGGTACTGAAGATTAATGAACAGTGTAGATGATATGTCTTGAGCACCGCTAAAGAAAGGTGCTAAAAATAGCCTGCAGCAATAGCTCGAGAGTTCTGCACATTTCTCGTGCCCCACAGAGATTTCCTGCCCTCTGCTTTGTTGCTAGCAGTCACAAATATACAAGATTACATAAAAGGTGAGGGGTAGTTTATATTTCATACTACTTTATCCAAAACTAGCTCTCCAATTCTGTAACTAGATACAAAGAAAAAAAAAAAAAAAAAACAACACTGCCTTTGAGTTGATTTGGACGCATAGCAACCCCATAGGACAGAGTAGAACTGCTCATAGGGTTTCCAAGGCTGTAAATCTTTACGGATGGCATAAGCTATTTCCACAGATAAAGACTCAAAAAATGGTAATAGTGAAAGTGTGAGAGAAAGTGGGGCATCCCCTCTTCTCTCGAAAGTGTGTTTGCTGAAGACGCTTTTGCTTCCGCGAGAAAAGACCTTTTTGGAGCAAATATTCCTTATTAGGTCAAAGTCTGTTTATTATTTTAAATCATTCTATCGTCAAAAAAAGAAAGTAAATTCCCTTAAATCATTCAGAATTCAGACGCTTGACCACAAGTGAGTAATACAGCAGCATTGCTCTCTTCTTCCCCATTTTGATGCTCAGAAGTATTAAAAAAGGTGCAGGAGAATGTTCCCCTACCAGGGCCATGATGATCACGCTGCCTTCCGTTATTTAATCTGGGGCAGATTGGGTCTCCAGATTTCAAACGCTGTGTTTTCAGAGAGAATGTTTACATAGCCTTCCCCAATGGCTTGCAGCAGTGTGAAGATTTGGCATTGACGACAGATTTAATTACCATCAGTAAAGAAATGCTTTTCTCACTGAATAGTTGTCACTCTGACATCTAACTTGGCATCTAGCAAGTAGGTCAAGCGCTGCAGGTTACTGAGGCGTTAAGACCCTGTTTTTCTCTGGCCCAGGCGTGTTCAACCTAGCCCCTCACTGCCCTTTCCAGATCTTGCAAGGCACATCTTGAGATCTGAAGACAGAATAACAAGCCTAGAGGTCCTCCTATCTAAGGATTAAGTCTTGATTCCCTCAGAAGTGGTGTGTTTTGAATAAAGAAGGGAAGAGCAGGGGGCTGTTTTGGTTGCAAGGTGTTTGGTTTTCCCTGGTCCCCAAAGCTCCGTTTTAAAGGCGAATATCCTGATCTATGTGAGAAGGAAAGCCTGTTCTGGGGGACATCCAGGAATGGGGCGTTTCTGTCCCCAAGTGCATAGGCCGGGAATAAATCCAGGGATGTGTGAACTTTGGAAGAGGTGTCTGCAACTGTGAATGACTTCCTCAGATCGCAGAGCTGAAAACGAAACTGGACGCGTCAGAACGGTTCCTCAGCAAGCTGGAGAAGGAGCGGCATCGGTGTCAGCGAGAGAGCGACAGGCAGCGCGACCTGACCCGGGACCAGCTGCAGCGGGAACAGGTGGGAGGGGCTCAGGATTTGATTAAAAGCAGGGAGGTGGTTTCCTGTTAACTAACGAGCTACCGTTTTTACTCAAATCAGACTCACAGATGAGCGTGACCGATGTGGGAGGGTGTATGGGTTGCGCAAGAGCCACAAATAAGGGCCACTTCTCTGGAAACCTGGAATAAGAAGGAAGAAGATACCCTGCTCTCTTCCTCCTTTGCTGCACAAATCGACATGCAGCAATTTGTCAGGCCCTACCAGGAGTGTTCAAGCGCTGGGCTGTTAACCTAAAGATGGAGGTTCCAACTCACTGGAAAGACCTGGCAACCCGCTCCCCTAAAGATTAAACACCTCCCACCCCTGCCGTGGAGTTGATTCCGACTGATAGTGACCCTGTAGGATAGAGTAGAGCTGCCCCATAGGGTTTCCAAGGCTGTAATCTTTATAGAAGCCGACTGCTATATCTTTCTTCTGCCCAGAGCGTCTGGTGGGTTCGAACCACCCACCTTTTGGTTAGCAGTGGAGCCCTTAACCACTGCACCACCAGGAATCCTCTCCCTAAAGATTACAACGTAGGAAACCCTATGGGGTGGTTCTACTCTGTCATATAGGGACACTATGAGTAGAAATCGACTGAACAGCACTGGGCAGCACAAAACAGAAGCTAGGAAAGAGAGGACCCATCTGTAGATTTGGTGACATCCCTCTAGAACCATTTCAGCCTTGGAGAAAATTAATTTTTTTCTTGAATTGTTATTCGATTTTTTTAAAGAATGTTTGTTCAAAACGAAAAACCAAACTTGTTGCCATAGAGTGTATGCCGACTCACAGCGACCCTATAGAATTTACAGAATGCTTCTTACTAGTGTTTAATAATAACAGTGAGACAATACCTTGCATTCGTGCAGTAGATTTTCAGTTTAGAGAGAACTTTACAAATAGATATTTGTTTTGTAATCATAAAAAAAGACATTTTAAAAAGTACTTCAACTTCATTGTCTCATTTAACACTCTTAGCCCACCTGTGAGGAAGGTGTTATTTCCTCCATTTGAAGATGAGAAAACTGAGGTGAGGTTAGATGAGTAGTTGATAATGTCGTATTTGGGAAAATGGGATTTGAACCCAGTCTCCTGCTTACATGGTTCCATTAATTCCTGCTGAGCACTAGACTATTACAGCTAAGATGATGGTTTCTCCTAAGACAGACTTTTTCATCCTAGTTTTACTTTCAGTTATTGAACTTCATGGATTTTGTAGAAAATAGAAGGAAAACTTTAAACGCTAATGATCTCTCATTTTTTTTAGATATATTAAAAATAAGAACTGTAAATAGTCGCAGATGAAGTCATAGCAGTGATGTTGTGAGGCATGTGGCATTATTTTAAGACAAGCACGATTCGTAAGTCTGTGTCTTAAATCCAGTGAAGACAATGCCAGTCCAGGTTTTCCTACCTTGCCATAGATGTCTTTGTCACAGTGAGTCAGAGAAAACAACGTTTAGCAACTCCCTTTCTGCCATATTGCAGTCACTTCCTTTTCTATTTTCAACCTGACCAGGAATCTTAGTATTTTCCCTTCCTAACTGCAGGACCATTTTCTAATTAAAATTGGATTCTTTTAAATTATGCTAAGTTAGGAAATAATTGGTTCATCTTCTATGTGCATAAGCCCATTCTATTTAAATAGAAGCAAATAGAAATATTTTCACTTTTCAAAAAATGAATTATGTAAAGTAGATTTCTTAAATTTAATAATTGTATTCAGAAATATCTATTATTGAAATGACATACTTTAACACCTATATTAGCTACTTTCTCGTCCTGATTTACCTAAACCCTGCAATATTTATTTTATTAGGTTAAAATATCAATCTCATTAATCATCAAAGAATTCTATTCACCCCACACAAAGTTACTCTCTGGAATATGAAATTTGGAGAAGGAAGACAGATTTTGTCTGAATCCAGAGCCTGTTAGGTTCTAAGCAATTGACCTGGCTTCCATTATTTAAAACCCTGGGCCTTGTGGTGCTGATTTAAAACATGGGTGAATGATGGCAGTTGGGCTACTTGATTTCTACTTTTCAAAAATAATAATCACGGTAATATAATGGTAAGAATACTTATCTGCAGTGAATGGTCTTTTTTGCCTGGAATTTAATCCTTTCCTCTCTCCAGTGCTCAAGAATGCAGAATTGGGCTTTGAGAAATTTATTATTGTTTTGTTGCAATAACACATTTTTTTAGGATGTTCACAGTTTTCTCAGTTATCTAGTGCTGCTATAACAGAAATACCACAAGTGGGTGGCTTTAAGAACAGAAATTTATTTTCTCATAGTTTAGGAGGCTAGAAGACCAAATTCAGGGCCCCGGCTCTAGGGCAAGGCTCCTGTGTCTGCTCTGGCGGGAGATCCTTGTCCCTTTTCAGCTTCTTTTCCTAGGTTCTTCGGTGATCCTGTGGCGTGTATCTCCCCATCCCCTTCTGCTTGCTTACTTAACTGCTTAATCTCCTTCTTTATATC